TTTATATAAATCTTTAACATTATTTAGTAATATCTAGTCAAAAATCAAAAGTACAATCTAAGTTACACGATTTCTTTATTTAAATATTTTTTTTATTAGATTTTATAATGGCCGCAATTTTATTAGGAAGTTGTTATGTTAATTTGTTACAATATTTATCTCAATCTCAATATTTAATCTTTTATTAATATATAAACTAGTCGAAAAAAAAAATAAGTAGTAGAGCTAAATTACACAAAATTTTTAAATAAAGCTTTTTGTTATTGATTTATAATGGGAGAAATTTATTATGAAGGTTGTTATGTTAATTGGTTATAATATTTATCTCAATATTTAAATTTTTTATTAATATCTAAATTAGTCGAAAATAAAAACTATTAATATCTATATATACAATTTAAAATTCAAAAAATATTGTTTATGCATGAAATGATTTATCGAATAAAAAATGAAAACAAAATAAATTCAATAGATTCTGTTGGGTTCTATGAGGAACGTCAAACAACATGCACAGTATTGAATTTATGGAAATAAATCCTAACGCAGCGGAATCTATAGTTAGAATATGGACGTTTACCTTTTAAAATTTTTGCCGACTCTGAGACGATGTAGAGTATCGTTGGTGTAGTTCGTCTGAATACCACAATCTAATGGGCAGAAAGATTTGGCCTTTATTCGATTCTAATCGAAGGTTCCATCGAAGCTCGGTTCACGGTACGCGGGTCTCAGGTCGATTGCAGCGGCTAGACGCGAGTCGCGGTTGCTGGCAGCAGTTGGTCGCGAGTCGCGGTTGCTGGCAGCAGTTGGTCGTGAGTCGCGGTCGCTGGCAGCAGCTTGCGGTTGGGCGCTGGCGGCTTCCGACAACTTCGGGCGGCGGCGATGGTTTTCCGGCGGTGGTCGATGGCGACGATGGGCGGCGATCGGCTGAAGAGGTGACCGGAAAATATATATGTATAAAGGCTCAAGTATATTGTACCAAAATGCCTTCTAACGGATTATCTAAACACCTATTTCGATTAAACTTGGTGGAGCATTTAATCGAATCTCCCTAACTCTCGAACAATGTTATTTCTCACGTATGTAGGGGTGAAAAATCGGTCAGCATAATCTTGATCAAGAGATTGGGACTTGGTGTATTTATAGGCTCCATTAGGGACCCTAAGGAGATGTCAAATATATGGGCTTATCCCATTAGGCTTATGAATCCTAATTCTACTCCAAATACTAATCCAATGTAGGAAAGAAATCTCCTCTAATCTAACTCTTCTAGAAAACTCCTTAGTCTCCTAACACTAGAGAAGATTCTAGTAGGAATACTCTTCCTAATTAAATTAGTAATCATGGAATAAAATTAATTCATAATTTAGGAAACTTAATTCTACTACAATTAATAATCCAATGTAGGAAATATTTCTCCTACTAATCTTCATCTTCTAAAAGACTTCGTAGTCTCCTAACACTAGTGAATATTCTAGTAGGAATATTATCTTCCTAATTAAATTAATTAATATGGAATAAAATTAATTCCTATTTAAATGGAATTAAATAATAAAACATCCCACTAGAGTAATATTACTGCTCTCCCCATTTAGCCACTATTTTACCAATAAATCGAGCCTCCATGATTAAATAATATTAATCTGATTGATCGATTTACCTCCCTATGTTTAAGATATAACGCCCGTTGATTAATTAAATTACTGACAAAATAATCAATCAACTTCTTATTCGTTTCCGAAATTAGTACCACTCAGAACCTTAACCATTATGTCAGACAATCGTCTACCTGCAGGGTTTAACATAATGTACATTCCTGAGCTCATTTTTGGGGACGTCATCAATCCAGCGCACTGGAAAATAGTGACCATAAATAATTTATAATAGCACACCATATAATTATTCTTACTTACCAAAATACCTCATATGTCATCCTAATAAAATAGGAATCACTTGGTAAATCAAATAAATAAGAGATAAATATATATGCCTATTTTATATTATCTTACAGCTTAAGAAAACGCATCAATCACTGAAGGTCTAGGTTACAACAACAATCAGTGAGTTTCATAACCTTATCCTTCCATGGTCCTGTTCAACACTTAACATAAGTGCTAGTGTAATTCTTCAGTCAAAGACCAACTGAATCAAGAATACACTACAGTCTTTTTCCAAGAGGGGTCTCACTGCCTGTCTAGACTGTGAACGAATAGTTTAGTCTTATAAGGAACCGATAGGTGATCTTTATGTTCGAAACACTTCGAACCACACTATATCAATATAAGACATGGAGTATAATTTGCATAAATAAATAAACTACTAACATATGTACTTTGACTGAAACATGATGACCAGATTAAAATGGAATCGATAGAATCTGCAAAATATAGCTTTTACAGCATATCTCTAACAGGTTCATATCCACTGCTATTGACTTTTTAGACCATAAAATTGGAATTGTAAATTATTAAATGTTGCACGCAACGATAATCAATCATAGAGCACAAGTAAAACAAACGACATAAAAACCGTATATAAGTACAAAATCGAATAATAAATGAACTAAAAAAATTTTATTATCAACAAAATATACTAAACATTCGCAAGTAATCAAAATGACATGGAATAAAATAATTACCAATATTCAACAGATCATAAAATTAAATATAATAAAATCCTAAGAAATCCATGCCACAACCATATCTTGCTCCTCGCTAGTATTGAGATAAATTCTCATTGTATTTGTTTACATGAGTCCTTCCATGAACCACAAGCTTCCAATGGTGTGTTAATGCATTGTTCCTCTCCCTATTGTATTCAACATTATAGTTGCGGATTGCATACACATCGCCTTCTTTAAGTACATCTCGCAATACTCTCATATTCGGGGAACATACTATTCCAATGATGTATGCACCTACAATTTTGAATTAATAAAA